AGGAAATTTATAAGGAGCAGCCAGAAGGATTTGAAGTAGCTGGAAAGAAACACATGGTGTGCAAATTGAATAAGAGTCTTTATGGATTGAAGCAGGCACCAAGGCAGTGGTACATGAAGTTTGACTCATTCATGAAAAGTCAAACATACCTAAAGACCTATTCTGATCCATGTGTATACTTCAAAAGATTTTCTGAGAATAACTTTATTATATTGTTGTTGTATGTGGATGACATGTTAATTGTAGGAAAAGACAAGGGGTTGATAGCAAAGTTGAAAGGAGATCTGTCCAAGTCATTTGATATGAAGGACTTGGGCCCAGCACAACAAATTCTAGGGATGAAGATAGTTCGAGAGAGAACAAGTAGAAAGTTGTGGCTATCTCAGGAGAAGTACATTGAACGTGTACTAGAATGCTTCAACATGAAGAATACTAAGTCAGTCAGCACACCTCTTGCTAGTCATCTAAAGTTGAGCAAAAAGATGTGTCCTACAACAGAGGAGGAGAAAGGGAACATGGCTAGAGTTCCTAATTCTTCAGCAGTCGGAAGCTTGATGTATGCAGTTGGTGTTGTCAGCAGGTTTCTTGAAAATCCTGGAAAGGAACATTGGGAAGCAGTCAAGTGGATACTCAGGTAGCTGAGAGGTACCACGGGAGATTGTTTGTGCTTTGGAGGATCTGATCCAATCTTGAAGGGCTATACAGATGCTGATATGGCAGGTGACATTGATAACAGAAAATCTACTACTGGATATTTGTTTACATTTTCAGGGGGAGCTATATCATGACAGTCGAGATTGCAGAAGTGTGTCACACTCTCTACAACTGAAGCAGAGTATATTGCCACTACTGAAGCTGGCAAAGAGATGGTACGACTCAAACGGTTCCTTAAAGAGATTGGATTGCATCAGAAGGAGAGTCAAAGTGCAATAGACCTGAACAAAAACACCATGTATCATGCAAGGACGAAGCATATCGACGTGAGATATCATTGGATTCGAGAAAGGATAGAGGATGGGTCTATGAAGGTAAAGAAGATCCATACAAATGAGAATCCTTCGGATATACTAACTAAAGTGGTACCAAGAGATAAGTTTGAGCTATGCAAAGAACTTGTCGGCATACACTCAAACTAGAACCTCCGATGTTACCTCCTTTAGGTGAATGGGACTAGAGTGGGAGATTTGTGGGGTCCATCCCATGATTTAAGGCATTAATAAAGACTTCTAAGTCTTTTTCTTTGAAATTGGCTGCCACCGCAATTCTTGAATTGTCAAGGGAAAAAATGTCAAGATTGGTAGGCATAGCAGATCTGCAGGAGAGAAAATGTCAAATGTAGTAGGCGTAAGAGATTGAGGCTCTGCCTATAAAAGGAGAGCTTCAGCTCTCATCTCGACACACCAATCTCAGAGAAAAAATATATCTGAGAGTTATAAAGAAAGATTGAGGTTTCACAAACAGGGTATAAGAAAATAGTCTGTGAGAAAAATAGAGAGTGAGTGATATTGTAGTAAAATGGGAATATCAAAAGAGGATTATTTCTTTTGAGTGTTGTAGTGACCATTTGAGTATTTTACTTGGACCTACAAAGTGTAAAATTCCTTGCTATAGTGATATCAGTTGCTCTTCTCAGGACCGTGGTTTTTTCCTTATTCAAAAGGGTTTTTCACGTAAAAATCTTGGTGTCGTTGTTACTCTTTTATTCTTGTTAATTACTGTATCTCGGTCATACATTCTTATTCCGCTTTTATTATCCGTGATTATTATTTTTGTAGGAGGTTTATTCCCAACAACTAGTGAGTTTGGCTATTAGCCTATTACACCATGTTCATAAACAAAAGGATATTTGAGTAATAGTTTAATAGTTTAATGTTTGTTATATATATNGCAAAACATGCTATGTCTGACGTAAAAAATGAAACACAATCACAGCCATGACATTCGTTAAATGTGGCACGCATGGCCCCTAATTTTATGAAGTATGTATTCTTTTTCGATTCTCTCCCCTTATTCTTGGAGGGGCAAAATGTAAAACTTGGCTTGCTTTGACTGTAATTAGCCCCAAATATGGATCACTGCATCAATGCCACGACTTTATTTCCTTAGTACAAATGCTCGCCCAATTACTGCCATGACATCCGTGAATCAAAGTCCATTCACTTTTTGTACCATAGGACATGGGGTAAAACTAAAGTAGGGATTTATCTTTCTTGGTGGTTAGATCTGTCTTGACTATTGACCAGGTTAATTGCAATAGGAGATCAATGTTTTATTCTAAAATTTAACTGTTGATGCAGTTTTTGGTTTATAGCGCAATGCGGGGAACAAAATCGCGAGGCTCCAAATGTTGAGTAGAATAAACAATATCGTGATAGTTGAGCTTGGATTATTACGGTTAAGTGACTTTTGAAACAACTAATCTATACTATATTAAAAGTATGAAGACCCTTAACGAAATGTCGTTCGCATTTTTTACCCTTAAAAAATAAATTTCATATTAGACAAAATAGTAATTTAATTATTTTTCTAATATATTTAGGAGTTCTAAATCAACTAGATTCTGTGATTATTTTCCTAATATTTAGTAGTTCTAAATTACCTAAAATTTTGCATACTAAAAATTCCTTGTCTGAACTTCTACTATATAATTTGGTCTAACGTACGCTATAGCCTATAAGCATGAAAAAAATTAAACAAAAATTTTCCTGTTTTGAGAAAAAGAAAACTTAAGACTTAAAAATATGTAGTAAATTGCTTTGTTGGCCAATGAAACATATCATTTTTATGTTATAATTTTAGTGTAATAATATTGAACTTTCAAAATCTTTTGTTAAGTAAAATTGTAATTATAAAAAATATATTTTAGAACATTATTTTATAGGATGCTAAGCATGAAAACCTAATCAAAACAAACTAGGGAAGTAAATGAATTTAAGTGGACTACGTCATACGTGCTTATGAAATTTTAATTACAGTTAAGTTCTAGCTTTCTAGATATCGTTTTTATATTATCTTTGAAAAGTACATTAACAATAATAAGACAATATCTAACAAGATATTTAAAAATATAAAAGATAAAGAGAATGAGCTATTAGAAAAATAGTTGACAGTTCTATAAACACAAAAATTCAATAGTGAAATATTAGATTAATTTCTTACTCTTCAACAATGCGAAATTTTTATTAGAAAAAATTATAATTATAGTTAAATATTTAAAACTATGAATGAGCTAATATATGAATAACTTGAGTGAACAAAACACACACTATTTCCTTGAATGCTAAGAAAAAATAATTAAGTCTTTGAATTACTAATTAGCTAAAGTATCCAAATTCATCATCTAAGTAAATTTAATTTTCAGGTTAACAAAAATCTTAGGATAGATAAATTTAGCTCCATAAAAAGAGCAATAATGGTGAAAAAATAAACAAAATTAGTTAAAATTTTTGTATTAAGAGTTTAATTAGTAAAAATGTAGACTAAAAATAATAAGAATGAAATAATGAAAGACAAAATATATTATGAATAAGGTGTCATGAATTATTAATATTATTATTTGCATTTATTACAAAAAAATGGCAACTTCTACATCTTTTATATATTAAGTTAATAGCTGTAAAATAGTAACTAAACATCAGTTATTTTTAGACTTTACATTATCACTTATTAGTTTTTTTCTATGAGCTATAAAGGCAACCTCATCATTTCTCAAGACCAAAAGATTCAATTTTTCAATTTTTTTTTTTTTTTTTTTTTAAAACAGCCTCTCTACCCTTCGGGGTAGGGGTAAGGTCTGCGTACATATTACCCTCCCCAGACCCCACTTGTGGGATTATACTGGGTCGTTGTTGTTGTTGTTGTTGTAATAAAAGTATTTTTATGTTATTGTTTGTTTTCAATATTAGGCTATAGAAATAACAATAATTTTTATAAGATATTCCCGTAGAAATTCTCAAATACCACAATAAGGTATATATACAGACTTCTATGGACAAGATTTCTTTTTTTATTGAGCTAAATCAACAGTCATTATTTTCAATAACTAGCATTTTTCTTTAATTTTAATTTTATAAGTCAAATATACTGCATTTGATAATATTTATTTTTTGAAATTATGTATTCAATAGTATGGGTGCACGCGCAAAGCGCGTACACTAAAACTAGTAGTGTAAAACATGCATACCCATATTATAAAATATATATATATATATATATATATATACACTCTATAATATACGTTGTAAGCTAAAATCCTAGATCTTTACGTGAAGTTTTTGTAGACAGTTTGGTGGAAGTGTGAATTAAGTGTGTGGAAATGATCACATGATCTTGTATTTGGAGACATCTACATTGAAGGCCCACCGTGTTAGTACAATAATAAACACATTTCTTTAAGCCCACTTGATCAAAACCCCAGCTTGCATACAAACAAACACAAATTTTTAAACTTAGTTATGNAAATAGCTACATTAAGTATTAGTAAGGAGTTTTGAATTTAATTTTCTATATAAGTAGGATTTAGTATATGTCTTACTATAAATATATATTTTATACTAAAGCTACTAGTTCGGTGATCTTCTAGCTCTTCCCCGATTCTCACAGGCAGAGGCGGATCCAGAATTTAAATTTTAAGGGTTCAACCTTTAAGATTCTTATTATTGAACTTATTATATTCTTAAAGTTACGGGTTCATATATAACTACATTTATTGCGATTTTAGTAAATTTTTGCACATAAATACCCGGTTTACAACCCCCTCCCCAACACTCTGTACATCTTTTAAGTTTAAAAAAACACAAAGTATAGAACTTGGAGTTGCAGCAGGAGTAGTAATTAGTAAACTAGTAGTAGTACGTAGTAGAAGGAAGTGAGAGTTACTACTTAAGAAAAGTTTTACTGACAAGAAGGTTTCTTTGGGCTACTTCTTCAATGCAATTGTCTTCTTCACATCCAACATCGCTGTCTATGTTTTCGTACTCTCTCTCTCTCTCGTTGTGGTCCTTCCCCTCCTTTAAAGCTCGTTTGTTATCTCTTCTCTTCATATTCTATTTCTAACTACCTAAACTTCTTCTCTTCTTCTTCTGCTTCTGCTTCTGCTTCTTCTTCTTCCACTATCAGCTAGTACTTAATTTGCTCTTCCTTTACGAAACTCTTACCTTTTTCCTTGACCAGCTATAAGCTTTCCACTTGTTCTAAGCAAATATATAAAAGGAGACAAAGACTAGCCGTAGAAAAGAACAAAAAAGACATTTAAGTTTAATTTAAGGATGTCAAGCAGAAGGTCAAGACAGTCATCAGCAGGTTCCTCAAGAATTTCAGATGATCAGATAATTGACCTCGTATCCAAGTTGCAACAACTTCTTCCTGAGATTCGAACCCGTCGCTCCAACAAGGTTTCTCTTATATTCTGTTTTCAGCTCTATGAATTTCACTGCTTACTATTCGTATCGCTCCATTTAAGCTCATTTTAATCGATTTATTCTACCAAAACTTATCTACTAGTAGTATATTTTTTTGCGCATGTTCCTATATAAACATGCAGCTGCATTTAAATATTTTGTGGTTCAACTATGTTTATGGTTTTTAGATACATAGTGTACAGAGAAGTTTGAAATTCTTTAGAAGGAAAAGAGAGGAAAATTTCTTCCACAGTATATTAGCCAAAGTGATCATATCATATGGAGCTAAGCACTTCTTGTCTGTGTTAGTCCCATGAATTATTCATGAAGGAACATATTTCGCTTGTTATATTCAAGCATTTATTGTATATGTCTCCTTTTAGACTCTCAAGGTCCATTTCACATATCCTAATTTGTCTTACCACAAAGTAAATAATAGAAAAGAGTTTAAGTTTTATATAAGGTTTTTACACCATCATATTAAATGATAATCAATAATACTCCATTATTTATAGCGATTCAGATAGAGTAACCTGATAAATAAGGTAATGACGTGCTAAAACGTATAGTTAAATTGTACTAATACTTGGTATATTTTAGCGTATATAACGTAACCTAAATTTTAATGGAGAATCAACCATGTACCATTAGCATAAGGGATAGGAAATAGAAATGCCTCTCTCTCTCGCATACACACTTACACTCACACACATACTCATATCTTTTTCTTGGAAGAGGTACAAGTTTGCCGTTCAAAAGGAGAAGATTATGATTTGAATAATTTTTTTCGACCATGCCTAGGACCATGCTTTGGGTCCCAACTTCCAAAAATACACATCATCAATTGTAATTTTTAGGTCAATGACTTGAACTTTGTCAAAGATTTGCAATGCATCATTGCACAAATTAAGGCATGTGTAGTCTAAATAAATTATTACGTAACACTATATGTTGACTAGAGAGTTTAGTAGTACTAAAAGTGATCATGCTTTAGCAGTTAATTTAATTTGTTCAACTCCTTTATCTATCTTGTCTTCTCATATACGTTGATTTTCACACTGCAGGCATCGGCATCAAAGGTGCTACAAGAAACTTGCAACTATATAAGAAATTTGAATAGAGAAGTGGATGATCTTAGTGATCGTCTTTCTCAATTACTCTCCACTATTGATGCTGACAGTCCAGAAGCTGCAGTTATCCGAAGTTTACTAATGTAACTACTCTATTTTAATTTCCAAATATTGGAATTATATATTCTACTGCATGCGAAGTTCTTGTTTTTCTTCTTAATTGCTCTAGACTCAGCTGGTCACTAGCTAGGCCAATCATGAGTTATAATTTAGAACTCAACTATTAGTACCGAACCAATTTGATCCCCCCCTCAGCCATGGGCACACGCTTGTAATTATATTTCACTTAGTATAATTAATAAAAAAAGAGTACTTGTGTTTTAAAATCCCTTTTTTTAGTTATTTAATTTGTTGTAATAATCCACGTGGAAGTAAGAACATAACATGAGAACTCCAGAGTGAAAAATGGAAAACAGAAGAAGAAAAAGGTGCTTAAGGATCAGATATTATGGTGATTAATAAAGTCATATTTGAGAAAGCGAACTAAACAAAAAAAAAAATTAAATAAGAAAAAGACGAAAAAGATTTAGTCCATGCTCAGTTTTAAATCGAGCAAGTTCAGGGTCAATGTTTGTCTGAAAGCTATCAATCACCTGAAGCACCGCTCACCAAACGCCCAAAAATACAAAAGGAAAAAAAGAAGAAGAAAAAAACCATGTTATAAAATAAACGAATACATGAATATATAGTAGTCTATCAGGTGCCATATATGGTGGAGAAATTCAAAAATAGCAAGATTTACAAGTGATCATTCAAAAATAGCTACAGTTTCAAAAGTAATCGAAATTTAGTCATTTTTCATGTAAAAATAAATCTAAACGAAAACACGGTTCAAAATCCGGAAAAATACTCCAGCATAATATACTCGAGTTCCAGTATAATATACCGGTCCAGCATAATATACTGGAGTTTAGAGCACCGGTGCTCCAGTCTCCAGTATATTATACTGGAGCCAGCAAAGTATACCGGTCCAGCATAATATACTGGAGTTTAGAGCACCGGTGCTCCAGTCTCCAGTATATTATACTGGAGCCAGCAAAGTATACCGGTCCAGCATAATATACTGGAGTTTAGAGCACCGGTGCTCCAGTCTCCAGTATATTATACTGGAGCCAGCAAAGTATACCGGTCCAGCATAATATGCTTAAAATTCATACACAGGTGCACCGAACTCCAGTATATTATGGGTCGATTTCTGTTGCAGCAAAATAATGGCTATTTTTCAATGACTTGGCAAACACTGGCTATTTTTGAATGACCGGTCCGAAAACTGGCTAGACCGTGCTATTTTAATTTAACCATATATTGCCTAGTTTTACAATATAAATTTATCTAATTTGACGAAGACGTTAGTAAATAGACGCGTAGTTTATTATGGCTCCAGGTGAATATAATATATGATTAAAGTAAATAAAAAATTTCATCTCTAACAACTAAGTTTTAATTATGCAATTAGTCAATAGGATATTAATATAGTCAGATATCTTGGGTTCAAGTCTTATAGTCATCTATTATTTAAAAATAATGAAGATATAACGAAATAAATAAATGTATCTCACTTCTAACAATTTAGACTTAAGATTTTAAATGAGATGATCATATCATTCAACAACTTATTTGACTGTAACTAGTGTGGGAAGAGATCATTGTTTGACCAAAAAATATAGATTTTAGTTTAACTAATTATATTTGTATAAATCAGGGTTAATCTTAGCTAACAATAATATCCCAAAAATGGAGTTCCCAAAAGTGCAATAAATACTACGTCATTATATTTTGGCGGTAATGACAGCATAATACTCAAGAAATCAAAGGCAATAATGTAGCATTAAATATTGGTGAATAACAATAACTGATATTTAAGTAAATAGAATGAGTGAGTCACCAAGAGAGAGTGGAATCGGTAGATGTTCTTCTGACAATAATGAGTGATGGACAATCCTTTGAATATCTGAGTTATTTTTTCTAGCGGAAAAGTGGTGACAAGAATCTTAGTGAAAATTTGATGTTTTGTGCTTGCAATGAAATCTGATTCTCTCTCTAAAGTCAAAGTGTATTTTTACGAATGAATATCACATGTCCCATATCATTATGTCTCTTTCTATTTATAGGAACCATGTTCCTAAAAACTCTAACAAATACAAGTATAGAGAATATTCATTAGAATATTTTCTTTTGTGTCATATCTTGAAATTAGCCGTTATAGCTATGCCAAGGGTGATCGACCTCGACCTCGATGACAACTCCTCGAATTTAGTCTTGCTGACTCATCGACTACGGCCTTTGCTGTTTCGGCTAAAGATGGATTTCTACCCATACAATCATATCAGCATAATAAATGGTTAAGTTTCACAAAAAGTGTGCCCCAATATAAAACCGGTAAAAGTCTCATATGATTGAAGTTGAATAAGAATGGCAATAAATAGGGAATGCTGAATAAAGTTATAATAATAACAAGGGCAAAGGCCATCGACAGATTTGCAGTTTTGTGCCCTCAAAGAGAAGAGAAAGGGACATTTGCTCTGTGTTTTAGCAGGGTGTCTCTGTGTGTGTTTTTTGTGTCTTAATCAAATAAAAAACATAAATATATAATGCATGGATTCTGATAACGATGAGCCACATATCATTGACGACGACTCTGATATTGCTGTTACAATATCTCTATTGGGCTACCTTTATTTGGAGTCGACACCAAATCAAAGAGACCTTTTCTGATTTTAATTTTCATTATTGTAAAAGGGGTCCTGCCTCATTCTGGTGCAACATCATAGGTGGTCAATTCCATCACACTATTTTTCCTAGTTTTTCCCTTCTGAATAATTGGATGGGAGTTACTATTTAGGAATGTTATTCTATTGGATCATGCTACTTAAAAACAAATTTTCTTTCCTTTTCCGGCTCTCTGATGTACAGGGGGTTAGGGATCCTTCAAATTTTGATCCAAAGATTCCAACATTATCATAGGGTGTTTAACTTATAACTTAAAATCAAATTTTGCTTTGTCATATTACTTTTACCCATTGTAGTAGATAATCTGCCTTATTTTATAAATTTTACTTTTTTTTTTGGAGAGTTACATCATCATAAATGTATATAAATTAAACTCAATCTTACGAAATCTTTGTCAGTGCCTAAAAGGAATGGGCTGAGGTAATATGGAGGATTAGAAGAATTAACATGAATAGTTGTTTCTCCAACCTCTTAAACTAAAAAACATCGGCGGATGTATAATATTTATATAATTCATATATAATATGTGTATAAACGTATATAATCTATATATATACTAGTTAGATTAAATAAATAGTAATACCGGCTATTTGTGTAAGAATCCCGTGGGTTACCTGCAGTGCTGATCATCAGGAAGAAGATTAAAGAGGCTGTAGTATAGTCTATGCCCACTAAGAGGTAGTAAGCTTTTGGGCCCAGTTTTCGTCCTTTTGATCCAAATTTTATGTTGAATGACCAATCTATATATNGTTAATAAATGTCAATAATAAATGATAACTTTATTTTATATTTGACTATTTTAGTTAAATAAAAATAGTATATATATATATATATATATATACAGAATTTGAATTAAAAGATAATTTTGAATTTATAGATAAAGTTTTAAAATTCGAATTTAAATTAAAAATAAAATTTATCTTTTTTTTTTTATCATATTATCATACTTAATTCGGTTAATGATCATATGCAATCATGTTAGGAACTTTTGTTATTTTTATAATTATTTAAATACTACTCGCCTCTACCAAAAAAAATATTACTCCATATAACTTTAAAACTCTTTCACATTTAAAACTCTATAAGTATAGTTCTTTGAAACATTGTAACTAGATTTGAATAAAACAGATTTCTTTTAAAATAAATGTAATATATAGCGTACACGTCTATGTTTATCCAAATAACAAAAATGAGTTTACAAAATCAAATAAAAATTGAGTTTACAAAATCAAATAAAAATTTACTTACATATATAATAAAGTAAACATGCATGCTGGAGAAAGAAACATCACAAAATCAATCAATACTAAAAAAAAAAGTTGTTTTTTTTCTTCTTGAAGAATATTTGTTTAAAGAATCGATTTGCATAAATGGACATCAAACAAATAACAAAACTTTGGCTATACAATTGCTATCATTAATTTCAATTTAGCACATTCAAGGAATTGAAGGGTATAAGGTGAAACCCCTTCATTTAGCTGTAGTCAAGCCAATATTGCAAGGGTATAATATTTTTTTCGTTGAAGAATATTAGTTTTGAATCATTAGATTATGTGAAAGGTTTTCTTTTCAAACTCAACAAGAGAGAAATTGGTTTCTAACTGATAGTTTCTATAGCGACTTTTTTAAGTGTAACAAAGAGTATATAAAAAAAATTGGTATGACGTGAAATATTTTTTTTAAAATGTAAACAAATTATTTCGGAAAAACTATTTGCTTTTTTTCTTCAAAGATAATAAAAAGATATGATATTTTTGAACATCAGTAGAGAGTTTTAAAATTATTATGATAGAAGTTATATCATGGATAAACTCAAAAAACCGAAATCTTATGGAATATTTACATAATATCCCGCCATATTTATTGTTTACTTTTTATAGCTAATATAAATAGATGATATACTGACAATGCACATATTATATATAGATTATATATAAATTACACGTCATTCAAATTTTTTAATTTAAATGATCGGGTGAGCACCTATTTAGGCTGATTAGATAAAGACAAAAGAAAAATATGAAATAATTTCAACCTAAGACCAAAAATATAATTAAAGTTCATATGTAATTTTTTTTTATTAAAACTCATCCTTTTATAGTGAATTGGAATGCAATTTGAGTAATTTGCATTGAGGTTAAGCCAAGTATGGTGTCGAAAAATAAACTAGTTGACAATTTTAAAATAATATATGCAATATTTTATAATAATAATCAACTAATTTAATATTTAATGATTCAAAGAACAAAATTTTTGTATATATAGGGTATTAAAAAATCAAATTCTGGAGCTAGAGATATCGATAAACTTAAAGTGGAGTCATATTGAAATAAATCCGACCAAAGAATCATTTAAATTTTTAGATATAGCCGATTAAAGTGTATTTTAAATTAAGAATAATATA